AAATGAACGTGCTTAATTTGAGTTCCATACTTAAAGGTTTTTCTGTACATGTTCCTGATCCAGCGTTGTACCCACCTCACTTCGATCCTTGTGTCATCCTAGCCATGGCTTCATCCCCACACAGCTCCTCTCATCTCGACTTCCTCCTCCTGGCTGCTGCCACGGCCTTCCCGGTCACCTCCGAGCTCGAACTCGGTCGGCAGAGCACAGTAAATTATTACATGACTGCAAGAATCACAGTCATGCAGTGATCAAAGAGTTGTTGTTCTTTCAGAATTAGGTTACACGACAAAGGTGGAACAAATGTGATGGAAGCCTCACCATCAACTACAGCGTCGAGAAAAGATAGTGTGCGGAGGAAACCAACGCCCGATCAACCTATGATACCATGGTGTGGAAGGTATTGTCCTAAGATGAGAAGATATGGAGGAGAAGACTGCAGTCGACATCATTCATGACGTTGGCTTCATCTTCTTTGAGGTTGCGTGTTGAAGGCGGAGAGCGAAGTGGGCCGGCCGGCGATTTTGGAAAGCGACCGGCTTTCAAGAGGAAGGCTAAACGTGGTGTCACTTGACAACTTAGATCCGGCAAACTTGGCTTGATTATTCTTTTTATTATATGTAATCGGACTCCTTCAATATTTTCAATATGATGAAAGTTCACTTATCGAAGATTGATGTTTAAAAAACTTGTCTGAGATATTCTTACATCTAAAAGACTTATGTATCAAAGATTAATGATTCAAAATCTTATTTAATTGTAATCTCTTAAATATTAATATGATGATGTGTACATACATGCTTACCTATGATAAATATGATATGTATGATGATGACATAGACATAAGCCAATGCTCTATAAAGACACTTTCCCTCCTTCAGCGTTGTGATCATCTCACTTTCACGTTCCTTGTTCATCTACCACCCTAGTCATGGCTTCGTCCCCACACGGCTCCTCTCCTTTCCACCACCTCCTCGTCTTCTTCCTCCTCTTCGCTGCTGCCATGGCCTTCCCCGTCACCTCCGAGTTCGAACTCGGCATCCAGAAGAGAATCCGCTTCCGCGTCTACTTCCACGAGACCTATCTCAGCCCCGACAACACCACTGTCACCGTGGTGCGTTTATGTGAACTTGAGAACATGTCAATGTCCCATATAATATAATATAATTAAAGCATTGGACATGGAAGCGAATATGAGAACGAACAAACGATGTTTCACCCTTTTGTATCACGCAATTAATACATAATTATGACATCATACCTTGTCATGGATCTCTAATCTTTCGACACTAAATATAGTTGAATTTTAGCTACTACGAACAAGGAATAACTTGACATATTGTTAGTTTAAGTATAGTTTATTTTATAAAAAATTTATCAAATTTTTTTTATAAATTATTATTATAAATTACTTAAATCAATAAATCAAGAGGTAGTGTTGACTAAGGCATCTAATGACCCTATAATCTCAATTTAATAGGGCTATTGCTCTTTGGAACACTCAATCATTTAGGAACATATTTTTTTATTAACACCTTTATTTTTAATTTTAATCTGATAAATATAAATTTAATTCACTGTAAAATAATATTCATATATCTTACTATATGTATAATATAGTTTAAAAAATATATTTCGAATAATACGATTATAATGAGCTAAATATAAATTTATATATTTTATAAATCTAAAAATACATGAATTATGATAAAATTAATACAAGGGTTGGATTGACCTGATTTAGCGTATCAACTTGACTCAAGTCAAACTTCAAGTTAGACTCCTCTTATCAAATTAATTTTTATTATTTTAAATTATTAAAAATAATTTAAATTTATAAATTAGAATAATTTAAATTCATAATCTTAAATTTAAAACTAATTAAGCCATACAAATTCATATCTAATTATTGAAATACAAATATATAATTAAATAAATTAAAATTATTATGTTAATTTAAAAATAAAAGTTTTAATAATTAAATCAATCTTGAAAGTCACTTAGGCTTAAAAGATCATTATAAATTAAATAATCATTCTAACGTCACAAATCAATTATCATTATTTACTAATCATAAAATTTTAAAATTAAAATATTATTATGCATCATATGATCATAACAATTTTAATATCAAGGATTTCAAAATATAAATGAAAATTGATTAGAACTGAATAGAGGATCTTGTCTCTCCTCGACTATCCATTCCTCGATATCATCTTTTCGAAAAATATATTATTTAATACTCACATTATGCTTACATAGGAGAAAGATAAGATATTCTGAAAGGTAAATAAATATTTAATTATTATTATTTACATATAAAGATAGAAATATAATATTTATTTATTATTATTCATACATGAAAAAGGAATGTCCTAACAATCAGATCACTTGTTAGGAAACAAATGACTCGCATGCTGGTGCTTAGGAAACTAAGTTGCTATCGATTAAACCTATGAGTCATATAATTTAGACCTTTTTAGGTCTCGTCTGCATTGTTAGTTGTTATCAAGGAGGTAAGTAGCTATTTATTGTGATTCATGAATTCCTTTGCATAGGAATGATTTAATAATGTTGCATGGGTAAGGCTTTCTGCATCGTGGCACGGCCCATGTTGATAATATGCGGGCACATAAACACTTCTATATGGGTCTCCTTACAGAACCTTATAAGAAGATGTTTTGGATGATGGCTAGGCTACATGCAATTAGTGGTGCTGAGGAAGGGGCCTATTTTTAGGTTGATTACATCGTAACGTTACAGTGCCTTTAAATTAGTAGGCTAGGCTGCAATATAGAGATTAATACGGGAATGTTGTGTACTTACTGAACCAAATGATGTTGCATTTCTTCCTATTTAGAGGTTTTAAGTTTCATGATTGAGTTTCATTTTGTCGTAGTCCTTATCTAAATTTGACTCTTAAAACCTCAAGTGATTTAGTGAATGTTGTTGGATAATACTTCAATCATAGTTGGTGCGTTGCCCTCTTAAATTAAGTTATATGTTGGAAAACAAAACTTAATAGGTACAAACGCATTTTAGATTTTAGGTGTTCATTTAGTTGATGTCACATGCAATATTATGTCCACATCAACGAGATTATATATATATATATATATAGTAACCGTGTCATTTATTAGTTTCTACCCCAATATCATATGACAGTAACAATATAAAAGGTGGATTTTTTTTAATATATAGAGTCCTCAGATTTATCCAGTGATGCAACTCAAACTAGATGAGTTTAGGTGCCGGCGATTGCGGGGAGCAGTGACTCCCACGCTGATGCTTAGGTGTTGCTTCTTTGGCCTATATGATAAAAGAGCTGACAAGTGTTAGGATTATCCCAATCAAATACTATAATATTAAGTTTCCTTTTCGTTGATCATAGAGCAACTAGATCGCATGATCATCGACGAGGACCATCAAAGATTTTGATCGAACCAAGAATTTGACATCAAAACTACAAGACGGCGTCAAGCACTCCATCAAATTAAAACTCTAACCAAGATTGGGAAAATTGGACGAGAAGGAATAGTAAGAGATCGGACCTTGATCACCATATCGCGCTCGTTGCTACCAAAGAGGACAGAGAGGAGAGCCGTCTCTGCAGATTCTTCGCATCATCATTTCCCCCTTCCTTCTCATCGTGGTCGTTAGTTACTGTTGCAATCTGCAACCTTAAGATTGGTAGATATAACATGTGTCCATAATTCATTTGATCATCTTCTTTTTTAGTATTTACTTTTATCCAAAATTATATATTACTTACTGAAGCAATCTGCTGCTTTAAGACTCGTGAAAATGCGACGTTTCCATAATCAATTTGATCCTCTTTTTTACTATTTATTTTATCCAAAATAATACTTTTATTTTTCACAAATTATTTACGTCATTCAAAAAATATTAATCTTAACTAATTTCGCTGCACCTACATAAGCTTTAATATGAATGTTATGAACAGGTGAAGTATACGTATACTGATAAAGAAATGCATTGCGTGAGGAAACAACCAAGGTGGAGACATTACACACGGATTGGGTCAACTATGCACTTTGAAAGATAACACGGCATGCGCTGGCATTTGACGATTTGCTAAAAAAAATATACCTTACATGAGAATGATGAACTTTGACAACCAACCACACCTTCGGTAGGTGAAGGATTATGCAGGCGTGATTCACATGGAAACATTGACATGCATTATGTCATCCCATCCCTTTTTGTTTTTTGGTCTCGTGATCATATATATAATGGTGAAAATAAACATGAGTTTAGGATATGTTTTGACAGGAGAGAATATGTATGTATATTAAAATTCACATAATATTCATTTGGTATGCTGATATGAGAACACATCATGTGAGCTTTTCTTTGATTACAAAAAGATGGTTAATGGCCCCACATGAGTCACGAATGACTTGATTGGCGAGTGAAGGTTTTGCATCGCACCGTCGGTCATTAATTATGTCGCGACTTTAAGTCGAGTGGTGAGGTAGCGATCACGCATGGGAACCAACACTTCATTTCCACATGTCAACAACCGAAGATGCGAACAAACGGGAGCGACAGCCATCAGCCAACCGCGTACATCTGTGTTGAAACACATAAAGAAAGATAGCGTTGCCAATGTGGTTCGTTAATTAACAAGCAAATTGACGAGCTACAGGTGGCCAGTTGGCACTTGCAGAAGACGCAACACTATCCTCATCGCCCATTGATTGCAACTATCATCCATCCATCTCTCAGTTACCCATCTCCATTGCTCGACATCATATATATATATATATATATATATATATATATATATATATATATATATTCATGGAGAAGACTATATGGTGTGTACATCGTGTTACTAGATGGTATCTTCTTCCCTGCGCGGAGACCTTCACCTGTAAGAGTAATATTCGTTTGAGTATTTTATGTAGACATGATAATGAGATTTGGTTGGAAGCTGGCATTTGTTGACGACGCATGACACAGACATTACTCTATAAATACATGTTCCTGATCCAGCGTTGTACCCACCTCACTTCGATCCTTCGGTCATCCCAGCCATGGCTTCATCCCCACACAGCTCCTCTCATCTCTACTTCCTCCTTGTCTTCTTCCTCCTCCTGGCTGCTGCCACAGCCTTCCCGGTGACCTCCGAGTTCGAACTCGGCCGGCAGAGTAGAATCCACTTCCGCGTCTACTTCCACGAGACCTTTCTCGGCCCCGACAACACCACCGTGACCGTGGTGAACATGAGACTCCCCAACACCTTCGGGGACGTCGACATCTTCGACGCCGTGCTGAGGACCGGCCCCTCTAAGCGTTCGACCGAAGTCGGGAGGGCGCAGGGCGTGAGCTTCCACGCGTCGCAGCGGGACGAGTCGTCGCTGATACCGCTGGTGCTGGTGTTCACGGCCGGGGACTTCCGCGACAGCACGCTCACGGTGATAGGGAGGCTGGACACCTCCGGGAAGGCGGACCGGGCCATCGTGGGAGGGACGGGGGTGTTCCAGTTCGCGTGGGGGAACGTGGTGAGCAAACTGGTGACGTCCGA